GGTTCGCAGCTGTCCTAACCGTCCCCTCTTGTGAAACATCCCCTCAGGTGGCCGGCCCGCTTCCTGCTCCCAGAGACAGGCAGCTCTCTGCGGGGAGTTGGACGCAGACTTCTGCAGAGCTCGAGGGATCCGGCATCTGATTCGCCGTCTCTCAGGTAGCGAAACTGGGTGAAGTTAAAGCCGTACGCCAGGACGTTTCAGTTCTGGGTGCAGGTCTCTGTGGCGGCGTAACGCTACTCTGAAAAACGCCCTCACCCTTCAGAAAGGAGACTCTCAGAAGTCATCATCGTTCCTAAGAAAACATACGCTGTTCTTCCTGAGCTGCTGTTAGGGTGCGTTGTTGTTTTTTTCTTTCTTCGTTGCAGTTGCATCATACATGTAAGACAAACCTGAGCTGACGTGCATGTTGTCATAATTTACTCTTCCACTAAGGAAAAGTTAAAATATGAAAGCTCTTGACTTTTGCTTCCACACTCATATCTTCAAAGTGCATTACGTATCCTCAAGGTAATATGCATCACCCTGCCTCCAGAACTTACATTTGTTTTCTTGGGAGTTTTATGTTCCCAAATGTTCAAGTTAAAGATATTTCTGTGGTGGTACAAAAAAGTTTATTTAGTAAAAGTAATTAGAGTAAAACTTAATCCCAGATATTTTTTTTTCAATTGAATTTTTAAATTTTAACTTTATGTATATCATAGAGGTAAGACTTTTCAAAAGGCAAGCAGAACACCAATAAGCATTAGAAGAAGAAAAAGTAAGCAAGAAGGATGTGTAGAGGAGCAAGGAGAAACAGACAGAGGTCTTTTTGTTTTTCTGTTACAGCGTTAGGGAGAATACAGTGTTTTTCCAACAAGTATGTTTGTGTTAAATATCTCAGAATTAATCTATACAAATCCATTATATGTGACTGTTAGACTAATTTTAGTTTAGTCCATTTCTGGTAGGTTGAATAACTGAGCCATTATTAAATGTCATCTGCCAGAATTCCAGGGTAGCAGTGCTGTACCACAGTGTTTTTACAGCCTTGTGTTATAGAATCATAGAATAGTTTAGGTTAGAAGGGACCTCTAAAGGTCATCTAGTCCAACCCCCCTGCCGTGGGCAGGGACATCTTCAATTAAATCAGGTTGCTCAGAGCCCCGTCCAACCTGACCTGGAATGTCTCCAGGGATGGGGCATCCACCACCTCTCTGGGCAACCTGTCCCAGTGTTTCACCACCCTCAGCGTAAAAAATTTCTTCCTTATATCTAGTCTAAATATACTCCCCTTTAGTTTAAAGCCATTCCCCCTTGTCCTGTCGCAACAGGCCCTGCTAAAATGTTTGCCACCATCTTTTTTATAAGCCCCCTTGAAGTACTGATAGGCTGCAATAAGATCTCCCCAAAGCCTTCTCTTCTCTAGGCTGAACAACCCCAACTCTCTCAGCCTTTCTTCATAGGAGAGGTGTTCCATCCCCCTGATCATTTTCGTGACCCTCCTCTGGATCCGCTCCAACAGGTCCGTGTCTTTCTTATGCTGAGGGCTCCAGAGCTGGACGCAGTACTCCAGGTGGGGTCTCACCAGAGCAGAGTAGAGGAGCATAATCACCTCCCTCGACCCGCTGGCCACGCTTCCTTTGATGATTATGCCCAAGGCATTAATGTTTCTCCAGAATTTAAGGCTAGAGGGAAGCCATAGTAGCTGTTTTGTACAAACACCACCAAAGATTCTTGTTTTAGGGGTAAGAAAACTAGAATCTCAACGCTACAGATAGGTTATTGTTATTACTTGGGGTGGAGTTTAGTTTTTTTTTCCCCCCTTCTTCTGATTCAGAATCAGATGCTGTCATTACCATGGTTTCTTTTAGGAAATACTTTTAGGGACAAAGTTAAGTAGTAAGATACATTTTTTTCCTTCGTTACTAATTCTGTTTATTTTTCAGTGAAAGTCAGGGTGCTGTTCCAACATAAGTAATACATAATCAAGTTAGTATTTATAGGTATTAGTTCCTGTTAAACCCAACAAAGTTACTTCTATTCTTGGATCAATTAGGCTAAGATTAAAAACGGCCCCTTCTAGCATCACACTTGAAGTTGTGGTGTGTCTTGTGGAAACAAGTAGACAGGAAGTAGAATTACGGTGCTCTTTACTGTTTTATGTTTAATTTCTTTGGTTTGTCTTCAGTCCTGCTTTAGATGAGATGCTGTTGCTCAGGGATTTAAAAATGGCATTATTAAGCGTTTGAAGGATTTCTGAATGTAGGAGTTTTGGGGCTGGGTTGCTGGGTCCGAGCTTCTGTTTGAGAAATAGTCTTATATGATTTGGATCACTTGCTTCATACTTTCTTTTATGGTTGAAAAGAGGCTGTATCCTGTAGATCCTTCCCATCCTGTAGCGGGATCGAGTGCACATGTTCACTCAGTGTTTTATTCAAGGCACAGTTAGGAGCCAGCTGAATTAGTTCTAGTGGTGGCAACTTGCTTCTCGTGCTTCTCACATCCAGGAGGGTTATTACAAAGTCCTCATGGCAGGTGATTAGCACACGTGCAATAATCCAGTGGTTCCAGGTAGTAGCATGATTGCTGTGTGCCTGTGTTCAGAGACACTGCCTATGTATATGCAGAGCATGTATGATGCCTCCCAGGCACAGTGATTGCAGAGTGCAAGTGGCTGGTATGGTACAGAATTAAAGGACGGCTGACTGGAGAGCTCTTGGTTTGCCTATCGGAAGGTTTGAAATACATCTGGGCTATAGTGAAGTGTAATTTTGTGATTGTCAGTTTGAAGTTAGCGTTATTGTTTATACTAAGATACAAAATGATACGCCAGACCATTGTGGGATAGTGTTTTTACGGATTTTTCTTAGGCAACCTTTAGCAGCATAGGAAAGCATAGGTTTCTTAGAGCATAAGCCCCATTGGGAGCTTGCAAGCTACCAATTTTGGTCTACTTTAAAGCACTATCACCTTATTGGGAAAAAAGCATTAAATGAATAGGACAAAAAAGGTAATCTGATCTTTGTTCTTAAAATCTTAAAGGGCTTTTCTTACTGGACTTTTTAAATATCTAATTTATATTGTACTTTGTTCTCTAACAAAGACTCTGAGTTTCCCATAAATAGTCTTTACAGTGCTGCTGTCATAGACACATAAAACTGTTGGACAGCTTATTTATTTTAAGAGGAGCTGTAGTTCCTCAAAGTATATGCATTTGGACCTGTTACTTTGATTGATATATGGGAATAACAATTCTTGGTTTTAATTTCCTTTGCTTTCACATTTTAATGCTACTAGTGAAGTTTTAGCCTTCTACCAAGAAGCCCAGAGGCAGACCTCTGAGGTAAGTTACCATAAACTCATTTTTAAGAACTGGTATTTGTAACAGTGAAGTGTCACAACACGCCAGTCTTGAAATGGACTGTAAGAAGGATTAGTCTAAAACGTGTGATCACTTGCATCTTGCTTCTGCAATAAAATGCAGCAAGTTTTAGTGAGGTACAAGTTTTTCTTTCTTCTGGATAATGTTAATTTTGTAAAGTCAGTCAGTGGCTCTACACAGAGAAATTGCAACGAAGAATACATGATTTAAGATACTATTCAAATAGTTCGTAGATTGTTTTCCATGAAGTAATTGACGTAAAAATATTCTGATAAAACATATATGCACGAAACAAGTTTTCCCCTGCTTGAATGCTGTCTGCTTAAAACAACTAAATTTCAAAGTCAGGAGATCTGCATTTCTTAATTTTCTTGTTCAGGGCACAATATTACCATTTATAGTTTAGCTCACTTGGATCAAAACATCACCCAAAATTCTTAAAATATTTTTGTGTGAGGAGGATGCTGGGAAGAACCCTCAGCATTAAAGATATGCCTAAAATTCAGGAATAAAAAGGCTAAAAGAAGTTTATTTAGAAATGGCTGTTTCTATGTCATTTTGTGAACAGGCATCCTAGAAGTCAAATTAATAGTTTCTGGCCTGTGCAGTGGGATTTTTTTTTTTTAATAGAATTCTAAATATGTTCTTTGGTAATGTAACTTAATGATAGATTTTTATATATAGGAACTATCTACAAATAGTTGCCTGACTTGTTAGACCAATGTGCTACCAATCCAGTAGAGAAATATTTGAACTGCCTGGGTATGATGAAGCTTGTGTAAATAGATGATTCATTTCCCATAGAAAAAATAATGTCTCCGTTCTCTAACACTCATATGCCTCAGATTTCTTAAGTATTAGCTCTTATTTTTGTTTGGCATAATCCCCAGTAAAATGAGTTCTGTGGTCATTAGGGTTTTATCAGCGTAATCTCGCTTGTTCAGTTGAGAATGATATAATTCCTTTGTGCATACTAAATTGTGAATGTGAGAAGATGCAGCTTACACTCAAGGTTTTGTGGTTCTTTAAATACTTACAGCATGATTCAAGTTGAGATGTATTGCTTTGAGCTGCTTCTGTTATTGAACTTGTGAGCATATCAGCTAGTGCCACTAGAGAATTTTATCAGCTGTGTTGCCTGTAAAGAGAGAGAAAGAGAGGAGCCAGAATTCAGATTTAGAGGTATGATTTTTAGAGAAGCCTCTAATTTTCAAATGCAGTGATGAAATTAGGTTATGAAACAAGCTTAGCCTTTGTGACTTTTATGAAATGTCAGCTCCTGTGAGATGGTCCCTTTCCTTCAGAATTGAAGGGTTACCTTGAGATTTTTTTAAATATACATTTATATACATGTATTCCAAGATGACTAGAAATTGTGTTGCTACTACTACATCAGTGGGAAGAAGGATCTGTTTGTCATAATTTCATTGTCAGCTTCTTGCAGCAGATGTGGCATTTTCTGGGAATAGGTTGTCATTCTTTGCTCTTTGCATATGCAACTGTTACAAAGAGATGCTAGAGGACTATGCAGAGATTATGGATTGAGCAGGTTATATTGTCAGATGGATGTTGTCTCCCAGGTTATTTTCATTTAAATCTTGTTTTGTCCGTCTTTGTGCCAGCTCTTCACCGGAACCTTCTTGTGAAAGGCTGTTGCAAGAAGTGCTGTAACTGCTTGGTCTGAGATGCCATAAAAGAGGTTCTGAGGAATACAGGCCTAGAGATCTTTACCACAAAAATGTCTATTTGCAAGAAATGGTATCTTAGTCCTGTCTGAAAGAGCAGAGACTGAACAACTGCATACACTGAATGTTCAGGACAGTAAAGCTTCATATGCGGTATTTCAGGTTTAGGCTTGGTTCAAGACTTTTCATTTTTATAGTCTGTCTGAATAATTAATTTATTTCCATGTTGTCATCTGCCCAGGTTTATGGGAAATACTTAATAATCCAAGAAGGATTGGAGCACTGCTTGTATATGGTACTGACTTTTTCAGTCTGGCACACAGTTTACATAAAATGTGTAAACATTTGGCCAATGGGGAGAGTAGTTACTTTCATAACAATAACTAATTGAATAAGTAAGTCTCTTGTTACATAATGTAACTTACTGGCAGTCAAGGCTCACCCTACCAGAGCCCAAACAATATCATCTGTCCATGTGCAGTTATTCCAGTATCCCAAATGTGCAAGTAATCCAGTCATGTATCTAGAATATTTTGCATGTGATATGTCTACTAGATCTGACAGTGTGTTGTAGAATAGTATTTCAAGAGGTAATGCACTAGTGCAGCCATGATTTCTTATTTCCACCATCCTGAAGAGACTGCAATTTGCCAGACTCTGTATGCCATCAAGTCTTCAAAAAGAGCATGCTTACTTACCTGACAGTGACTCTGGTTCTTGAGGGTGTTTATCATCTTTAGGAATTCTACCACCCACCTCCAGAACCCATTTCGGAAGTTTTCAGCTACCACAGGCTTTCAGACGTGAGGAGAATTGGGTGGAGCTGGAGCCATTCTTCCTTTTATGCAGTATGGGATTACGAGGATTCGTGCAGCATATGCAGAGCTCCAACAGCTATTGCTGTTTAAAAGACTTCCGAGTTCACACATGTGAAGCATCTGTGTGCTCTCTGCAAGTTCTGTAATGACTGCAATGTTGTAAGAGAAGTATCTGTTGTTTATATACTGAGTTTCACTACCGTAAATACTGTTTTGGGTTAATGAGATATGACTTCTTCTCACTAGTAAGTATTTTACTAATTTTCAATGTTTATAATGTTATTGAAAATCAGGTTGTATACAACTATTTACTGTAAAACTTATCAGTCTTACGGTATTATGGATAATCATGTTGTCTTTTTTCCAAGTAAAATAGCAAAATTATTTCTTGAAATGCATTAGAAGTTTTACAGACCTCTTCAACCCATTATATGAATATTGGTTCCTAATATCCTCAAAACCTCTGAGGAAAACGTCTTGCATTATTTTTCATCTTGGATTTTGCAAAACTGGACATGGAAGAGATTAAAGGACCATCTCAGGGTTTGGGAAGTTGAGTATCCTCCACTTGGATAAACGCATGTTCTTGTTATAAGTTGTCTTTATCTAATATGGATGCAATTATTAGGTTTCAAACAAGAGCAGTTGCATTTCAGGGAAGGGAAGCAGCTTTTTTGTTCTTCCTTTCTCTCTGTGTTAAAGGATGCTTTTTGCACAGCACCTCTTTTTGCTAAATCTGCTCTTTTCCCACATTAGTTGCATAGTGGGAGAGTCAGTGACATGTGGAGGAGGAGAGGAAGTAACAGAATTGGTGTATTCATGTGAGAAAGTACTTGTGAAGTAAGAGAAGTGGGACATGTACACACACACAGGCTAAGTAGAAAAAGCTGACCAGATTTTTAGGTTGACTGGATGCTCTCCATTCTTGGAAACGTTACTTCAACAAAAGAAATATAGCTACAAGTCCTCTCAGGGACTCGTAATAATAAGGAGTTTCAGGGAAGTTAGAGCAAGAAAATTTTGACTGTTTTGAGAAATATGTCTCAATTCAAATTTGAATTCTGTTGAATGTCATGAAAACCCTTTCTACTTGGTGTTGCAGCAACAGTGGGTATTAGAGCATCATTTTGTCAGTAGAAAGTTGTTTTTCTGGAAACAGCCATTAAGGAGTCATGTGCTGGTCTGCACTGGATTCTATGGGCAAAGCCACTGACTGTTAATGAGCTCTGTCTGGCAGCCAGGAAAGCAATAGGGAATGGAAAATACCAGTATAAAAAGAGAACCAGGAAAAAGGGGGCAGACTGCTTTTTAAAGGTATGCTTTCTAAGCCTAAAAAACGTTGGTTTAAAAACAATTTAAATACTTAGAGCTTCACTTTTTTCCCCCAAGGACAATGACTGAAACTTGGTAAAGTCATGGGAGGAAAAGATACTTAAAGATGGCATCACGTTTAGGTGTTTGGGAGGTGCAGGAGGGTTTCCATGAATCTGACATGCTTCTTAACAGTAATGTATGTGCATGGATGTTTGAGTAGTTCCTTTACAGATCATTTGGATTTACTTCAGTCTCCAAAAGGTCCATCTCTAAGATAGCAAAACAGAGATGGAGAGGCAACGTGTGAAGTGTGCCCTAGTGGAATACAGGAAGCCTCAGGAAAATTCCTCGGACCACAGTGTTTTCTTTCTGCTGTTTTCAGTTCATTATTCTTCTTTTCCATCTTTCTTTCCCTTTTTGCCTCTAAAAAAAGTTCCTTTTCACCAAAAGTCATATGAATGCAATGAAAGGAAGAGAGATGGGTTGGGTTAAGTATACTTTCATGTTCAAGTACATTGTATGTGTATGATGTAAGTGAGCTGGCTAGATAGAAGCAGATGCCTTTCCTTCCTTATTCTGTTTAGTGTCAAGGGCAATTATACTGTAGAGGCTCACCTCCCAAAGAGGTGTTGGAAATGATCAACTGTATTCCTGAAGAGTATAATTATAGAGATTTTTTTATATAGAAAATATCTGCTGCTCAGACCTAATTAGGCTTGCAAATGCACGTTATCCCAGAGTAGGATTCATAACTGATAACGAAGTTGTTTCTGTAGGTTTGTATTATCTGCTGGTCTTCTCAGTTTCAGTGGAGAATGATTGAGATACTTAAGAGGAAATGTGAGAAAGCTTTTAGTTGTTCTTTTTTTAAATGAACCTCCAGAAAGAGCACTTCCTCCTAATTCTCAGTTGTTACTTGACTTCAAAGTTGTTTATACCTATTATTAGAAATTGTAGTTGTTTTTGAATATTTACTAAAGCAAGGTCACCTATTCCTCTTACCCACTTAAATTCCTTTTCCAATTCTGTCATGCTCGTGGCTTCAGCATTTTGTTACAAAGGTTTGGTGGGGGAGTAATAATATGGTTTTTTTCCCTTATTCATTGAATTATTATTAATATCTACATCATAAGATACTGGCATTCATGTGGGCTTTACAGGATGTAATTTAAAGCTTGCAAAGTTTTATTGTCAGCAGTTCAAACCACTGTGCTTTCTTTGTGGTGTATCCTGTTTTCCATTTGGTTCCTCAAGCATTCTAAGAAACGCGATCTTGTTTCTTATTTGTAGATTTTGAAATGAAGTTTTATACCTATCTGGCAAAGCCAAGAGTATGACAGTAACGCTGTAATGTTGGTACATCATAAATCTTAAAATTTGCATTTGGAGCCTCAAATCTCGCTCCTGACAAGCTAACAATTCTAATGATCAGTCAGAGAATTAGTGCATTGTGACAATCCCATTGTTTGCTTTTTAGTCCATTTTAAAAATAATGATTTCTGTGGTGCTTTCTAGCTTAACAAATGGCGGCACAGTGTGTGACAAAGGTGGAGCTGACTATTGCCTGCACCAATCTCTTGGATAAAGATGTTGGTTCCAAGTCAGACCCGCTGTGTGTGCTTCTCCAGAACACGAGTGGTCAGCAGTGGTATGAGGTACAGTGTGATGCTTCTCATGAATCTGCTAAAAACACAGTCTAACTTTGTTGGACCTTTTAAAACACTGGAGCATATGATTTCATTAGAACATTTTAATTATATACCAGCACGTCTGAATACTTTTCACTAGATTATGTCTATAATAGTTATACAGGTAGCACACTAATGTTTTCTAATAAATAATTACACCTGTCTGATTTTTAGCACTGTTACCCCAGCCATGTGTGGACCAACAGAAGAAGCCTTCCAAGTGCTTAAATGTGCTTTTATAAATGCAGTACTCCAAAACTAGGGTCCCACCCTGGATTTGACAATATACCACTTTTATGTTGGTCTTCCCTATGCAGGAGTAGATAATCCTTACGGGGAGCAAAGAAAAACAGGTCCTCAAATACCTCTGACTTTCAGCAGCGGGTTTTGTAATATAATGTGGTTATTTATATTTGATGAAAGGTTTGTAGGAAGATACGGCTTTATACTAAGAAGTAGTTTTGGAAGTCTTCAATAATACGTTATTTGATTTGAGTACTTGTTTGGTTGGTGAAATACTGGATAAAGTGATATCTCTGTAACTGCAGGTTGATCGCACAGAAAGAGTTAAGAATTCCTTGAACCCAAAGTTTGCCAAGAAATTCCTAATTGATTACTATTTTGAGCTTGTTCAGAAACTTAAATTTGGAATATATGACATCGATAACAAAACCTTTGATCTGAATGACGATGACTTCTTAGGAGAATTGGAATGTACACTGGGACAAGTAAGTATACAGATGATTTCCCTTAGAATTAAGAAAATATAAGTTAATGCAAATTATTAACCACTTTTATCTTAAATTCATCACTATGTTCTTGTGTAGTTGGGGCACTCTTAAATTGAATAGGATTCCCTTCATTTGTTTTTTTCAAGCCTCAGTTTCGTGTATATACATTTTATTTGCAAAAGGTCTTGAGATGATGCCCTGAAATGTACTCTAGAATGGTGACTGTCCAGATTGCTGTCTGAAGGTATGTGGACTGTCAATGAGCACGAAGTAGTAATTGCTGTTTATTTACTCTAATACTCAAACTCTTATTTTTATGCTCCATAAAAAGAGAACTGGTGTATAGCAACATAAGAGTGTTCACAAGGGCCATGTTAACCTTGCAATTTGCTTTCCACTCAAGGCAAGCAGTGATTCTGGTTCTGCCTACTGTTGATTTCACTCTCTGTCAAATTCTGCTATTGGTGCTCTCACAATTGGGCAGCTTCTTTTTAACTTGTTCTTTCTAATAGATCCTTTGAAGGCACCACTTCTCAGGAGAGTCTTCTTGGGATTTTTCCTCCCCTGTGTCTAAAGTATTTTTATTTTAAATGCATTATGAAGATGGAGGCATTGTGAAATGAAATTCAGTAACAATTTAAAATTAATCATTCGTTCTTAAAGTAAAGGAGGACCTGTAGAATGGGTAGACACACTTCTGAGAAAGCATTGCCTGAAGAGGATAAAATAGAATCACCTAGAAACACTGCAGGGGGAGGCTGATGTTTGTTTGGACAACAAACATTGTGTTTATAAATCTGTTTGCTGAAGCTGTTTATGAAACGTGGCTTGCATGTGTTTGAATGGTATGTATGAAAAACTTCAGAACAACTTGAGATTGGAACTTTCAGTATTATCTCTGTTCATGTATGTGTATCATGTTACTACAAGACATTTTATTTCATATTGCTCCTGAAACTGCATGTATTCATCTGCCTGTGTGTTTTAAAATTTTGAAGTGTATCAAGTATTACCTATTTATTTATAGGAGATCATGGGAAGTAAATGTAATGCTGTCATCTTCATGCTGAAGCAAAAATTCCTAAAATGAAAATACCTCACTATCTCATTTCATTCCTTTGAAAAACCTATTAAATTGCACTAATAATGCTTGATACTCAAATTTTGTCTTGGCAGATAGTTTCTAGCAGGACTCTAACAAAACCATTAGTACTTAAAAATGGCAGACCTGCTGGAAGAGGAAGTATTACGGTAAGACAATAAATCTCTTCAGTGTTTATCCTTAAATGTTTTTGTAGGGGTTGGTTTAGTTAGTAGCTTGAACGCAGCGTGTCTAATCTACAGTGTTGTAAAAAGTATCTTAAAGCATTTTTTTTTTCCTCCACTGATATTTCTTTGTCATCCAAACGGAGAGCAGCGCACCATCTGCATCTATAAGTCTCACTGCATCCATCAAAATAATTAGGGCATCCGATGTGCTACTGTTTGGCCAGTATCTTTAATTGTCAGTGTCGTCATCTAGTGAATCCCAATGTCAAATCAAATTGTTCCTCCCTCCCCCCACCCCATTTTTTAATGCTTCATTTGTGAGCAGACATGATTTTTCTTTAATGGACCTGTCATAGGAGTGTTGTGAGTATGTGAAAATTATGTAGTTCCTGAATACAAAATAAGTATTTTTTGTTGTTTGCCTATCTAGATTACAGCAGAAGAAGTGAAGGATAACAGAGTGGTGGTACTGGAGGTAGAAGCAAGGAAACTGGACAATAAGGTATTTAAGTGATTGCTGTTTCTTTGATAAAGTAGTAAAATCAGACTCTTGTCGAAACAGGAAACATGAAAATGTTCGTTCTTATTTTTTGCTGAAATAATTAAATCCTTTACGATTTTTCTTACACTAAAAAAGAAATTGAAGAAAGATTGCTTCAGAGTAACTTCATTAACTGTTTTGAAATGAATTATAATTTCTAAATAAGACAAGTGCCTTGCAGGGATATTCCTTGAATAGCATGCTTCCATTTAAATGTAAATCTTTACATTTTAATCACAAAGATAAGGGCTTTTTGGTATATCTATTGGTTTGAGTACTTGTATAAATGATTACCTGTTAGCTCTCTCGATTAAATGGTAGAGAGTGTACTTGGAGTGTATAAATCTGTTACGTTAAATATTTTGGGGCTGGCTAAAAAAACTGTATTTAGAAAGACTTTTAAAAACAAAATTTAAAAACAAAATTTAAAAAATGTTATTATTTTTCCCAGTCAATTTAATGATACTTTTTTGAACTGGATGAAATCTTTAATTTCCTAACTATGCATCATAGTACTTACAAGTATTCTTTTGCTTGTACTGTCAGGTATTTCATATGTAGACACTGCAGAACTTTTATCCTAAAATGATGGACATGCCCCGTTTTCTTCCTCTCTTTCACAGGTGGCAATATAATCAGACTTGCATTTCTTCATCTAAAGCTTTTCTTCCCTGAATATTTAGTTTACCTTTTGTTAATCTAAGTGTGTTTTAACTAGCATTTAATGGCATTCATGCCACAGGCTGTTCTGGGATAATTACATGTTCTTTAAATACAGGATTTTTTTGGAAAGTCAGATCCTTATCTGGAATTCCACAAGCAGACTGGAGATGGAAACTGGGTGATGGTTCACAGAACAGAGGTAGGATATTTTCAGTCAACAACCTAGAGATTAAGGTTATTTGATTTCCAGCGTGTCACAGCACCAGAGGTACAGTGCCTTACAAAAAGAAGAGAATGGTCTGGCAGGTGACATGCAGACCGGTTAGAAATCACCTCAGCTCTTCCACTGATTTTCTGATAGGATGAGAAGTCTATCTTACTCCGATTCTGGTTTATGCCATCCTATTTTAACGGAAATTTTTTTTTTTAAACTTTCTGCAATCTAGAAGAAAACAAATGTTTTGAAAAGGTACTGCATACTCACACAGGGACGTTTGTCTCAGTGCTACTCTGAGGTTAGAACTTGAGCATTCCTGTGACTGTGCTGTTCTTATGTCAGTGTCAGCTAGCTGTGCCATTTACTAATGAAAGTAATTACACCGAATGCTTGCATAGCAAGGGCAAGCCAAGCATAATGCTGAGTGAGGGGAAAATGTGCTTGAGCAGCAGCAGCAGCCTTCCACCCAGGAGGAAGTGCCGAGGTCCTGTGGCAGCAACTGGCAGGGTAGGAGTAGGTTCAAAACGTCTCACTGTAGTGGAAGCTCAGGCCCTAGTCATAACTGAGGTACTGTGTGCATTTGAACTAGTGGCCGTATTAATTTTGAAGCATGGATGTTGAAGTATAAATCCTCTTTGTGTCAGATTTATCAAAACAGTTTCTCTCATGAGGCGGTTCTTCTACATAAAATGTATCTTTTCCATGAAGATTTCGGTCATCTTCAATTTCAGTAACGAATCCAGAATTTGCTGTTCCAGCCTAGAACTGTCTGGAGGATTAGTTCTTTATGTTACAGATTTTAAAAACCTTGTTATGTCACTAAGTATTATTTACTGTTTTTATTTGCAAAAGAGAGATTTCTTTCTCTGCAATCCTACAGTGCTGGAAGTATAAGTATTACTATTATTAGGTATTATTAATTAAGTATTGCTTGTTGTGTGTAGTTTCTTGTGCTTTCTGAGATCATTATTTGGTGTACTGGGTATATTACAGACACTTTCCAGTTGACAAATTCACAGATCCTTCAGTATTATTCTTAAATATCACTTATTTAGCATTCAGCTTGAGAGGCTGTGCAGTAGGGTGTCTTTTTATCCTCATGCGCTGTTTCTGCTTAACTGTACCATGAATTTCTTGAGGGAACATTTCTGTAAGTGGCATTTCAGAATAAATATAAGCTGGAGTGAATTGTAATCTTCCAGAGCACTGATGTATTCAGAAATCCCAATGTAATCTTTTTCCATGTTTTTTTGGTAAGTCATGCTTTTATATATGCTTGTGTGAATGTGTATATGTATGTGTGCTTATTAAAAAAAATATTTATGTAACGATAAATTTAATTTTTTGCAGTGTAGTAGTTGAATGATATAGTAGATCACAATGCAGTCTAGAAAAATACGGAGTTGAAAGATACCATCTCTTTTGGACAATACTACTGCATGTTAGGAATGTTTTGTTTGTTTATATCCTATACGTTAGGATTTGGATTGCAGGAAGTGATTGACAGCAGCATTAGTCAACTGGTTTTGCTTACAAAAATCATGACATAAAGCTATGACCAATTACAATGACTACTTTCCACTCTTGTGAACAATACTATTCTGGAATTTTTTTTTTTACAGGTTATTAAAAACAACCTGAATCCTGTTTGGAGGCCCTTTAAAATCTCTCTCAATTCACTGTGTTACAGTGACATGGATAAGTCAATCAAGGTAGTGTATCTGAAATGTGTGTATGAATCAATGCATTAAAAAAAAGTAGGATATGTAATAAATGGAAGATGTGTTATTTTAGTTATTGCCTCTTTTTGTTTCTTATTTGAAAGTCACAGAGATACATGCATGTTTTAGGAAAAAAAACCTCACATTTGTGATGCATTATCTGGTAAAAGTTGGTCTTTGAAAGTCTGGGAAACCAGTTGAACATAAGTAGCTTTGAAATGTCCAGTTCAGTTTCTTGTTTAGATCATGCAGTTTTAGTGTTGCATCTGCCAATATTGGTGGTGTTAAGGTACTGCATAGTGAAAGATGCATTGTAAAGGCTAGAATATGCTTTGCTGTACGCTATGGATCTTGTAACACTTTGTTACTGGTGCAACAGGGAACGCTAATGAAATTCTTAATATACTACCTGATAGAATTAATTACACTTAATATACTGGCTGAGATAACAGATGTGGTCTAGATGTATCTTGTGGATACCAGATGTAGCAACTTTTCTCCCCAGATGAAACTTTCTGTCAGAAAGTCAACCAAACCTGTGAAGTGGCAGTTTTACCAGGACTGATCTTTAACTCTTTGTATCTTTAAATCTTATCTTGAATAAACTATGTTTAACTTCTGAATGTTTTTCTTCAGGAATTCCCTTTAGGGGAAGCTAAACAACCAATCAAAATGCCATTTATAAGATATTATGAATATGTTAGGAACCTGATATTTTAGCATTAAAAAACAAAACAAAACAAATGAAACAGACCACTATATTTGCCATTCTTCCTCTGGAAAGGAAAAATGAGAGCATGATCTGCATGTGACAGGTATTAGTCATATGACTTGAGGCAGTCCTGGAAAATGCTTAACAGCCACAGGGATCTGGGTGTTACAAGCACCTGTATAGATTTAAATATATAATTACAGAGCAGACTAATGAACAACTTTACAAGCCTAGAACCTGCTTCCCTTGCCGCTTCTGTGGTTTTTTTCCTTCTCATGCCTTTCTGCTTCCCTTTTCCCCAAAATAGCTGTGACAGCTCTTACATTTCCATATACTGTAAATATATTTCACTTGTTCAGTAAACAGCCATGCTAAAACTATAGACCATTGATTAAAATATATCTATTAAGATGGAGTTATTCTCAGCTCTATTGTCATTTTAATAAAGTCTGTTCTTTGGAATCTTACCTCAGAAGTGTAGGTTTATTTCCAGAGGAAATAGATTTTACTTGGAGTTATTATGGACTTGCAGACAGACAGTAGGATTATGTCTTAACTTAGAAATCCGGGAGCTATCACTTCAAACATTAAAATGCAGACAGAATTGTATTATAATGTTGTTGAAGGATTAAACAATACTTTTAACACTTTTATATGCGCACAGTTGCATACATAATGGGCTATTTGTCATAGTAAGTAAAACCACCAACTTTTCCATAATGAGTGGCTTTTCATCTATTTAATGGCTTAGTTTGTGTATGCCCAGCAATGCACAAACTAAGTTGATTCTTTTATCTTCTGGATTTATTGCTATATTCCATGTGAGTGTGTTTGCAGTCAGTGAAGTCTTTCTGTGTTGAAAAAGTCAGCCTTTCATCTGGAGCAAGCATGCCTAGTTCTGCTGGGGAAAATATATATGCAATTTTATCACATGCTTCCCTAGCGCTATTGCATGTCCAGGAGAGCATACGTGGAACAAAAGTAATATTTCTGTCTTGCCTGGAGTAAGTATTGAAAATTGGCTTGGATGGGTCAAATATATCAAGCAAGACAAACTTTAATCCCTTTAAAAGGAAAAAGAAATAACTGTGCTAACTGTGAACAGGTATCATAACTTTTGGCTCAGGAAATGTCTTCGGTTTTAAATTTCAGGTACTGAAGCACTTGGCTGAGTATTTGATTGGCTTAATTTATGGCATTCAAAAGAATTTTTACAGAGCATCTGCCATGAACATTAGTCTGTTGGTACTGTGGCTTCTTGTATGAGATTTAAGTTGCTATTCAGTGCATGTGCATGTATTTTATTTATTTATTAGTGCATTCAAAATGTTGTAGGAGTAGTGCAAGCCGCAGCATACAGGTATGTTCTGCACAGTGTAGAACTTGCAATCTACGCATCGTATTTTGTACTTCAACATTACTGTTTGTTTTCAGAAAGTTAATTCCTCTCAGAAGCTCAAGTGTATGTTGAATTTGTTTGCTTTACTTTGTTATTCCTAAATGAAGTGGTCAAGTAATCAACTAAATTGTTTCTTGAATATAACATAGGATTTTTTTCAGTCTGGAAAGGCGGATGTGAAAATAGCTGTTTATAGATAAGCCATATATATTCAGAAAAGTTGTTCTTGAAGTTTATGTTTTGATTCCAAATAATGGGGGATTCCTACTTTGACTCCTGATTTATTATTGTTATTTTTTATAATTATTATAATTATTAAATTATTTTGGTTTTCTGTGATTTGATTAAGTTAGCTAGCATGTCTGTGTTGCTAAACTGAAATAAAATATCAGAAGTGGATGGAATTAGCATATGCTATTATAGATAAATACCCAGCTTTTTATCTAGAAAGGCAGTTGGGGCACATTCATAAGTTCAGCTTTTAAAAAATAAAAATTTGAGGACACTATAAGGTTAAAGTAACAGCGGTAAAATTATGCTTACTCAAACTGATAGGTTCTCAAACAGGGGGAAAAAAAGTATTTTTTACTTGTTCTGCCTTTTTTGGTGGGTTGGGGTGTTAAAAGATGAGTCGACTGAATAGTAAAACTTAGCATTAAACACTGAATACAGGAAAAGAGGCATTTTTAGTTGACATTCTGATCCATAAAGTGTGGATCATAGTGACTGTTTAAATTTGCTAATCTTAAAAAAACAAAACAAAACAAAAAAACCCCAAAAACCAAAACAAGTCCTGTTTCTAGATTTAGGGCTGAACCTTCATATGCTTATAAATTCTGAGTTATCTTGAAGATTAATAAAGTAATATAAAAGTATTAATAAAACTCTTGTGATCACTGAATAATTGATTTACTAAATTTTTAGCTGGATGCTCAGAGAAATTTCCTTAATACCTCCAAAAAACTAAGTCTCTTAATCCATGATGAGAGTGAAAAAACCCTACAGATTGTTTTCCTACTCTTCCAATACCCCCTCATTCCGAAAACGTAGTTCAATGTAATTGATGTTACCTGCTCATGCCGGACCCGACACTGCTTAGTATTCTCGTCTCTCCTTCACTTCAGTGGAAGATCTGTTCTGAAACTGGGTATATTGGCTTTTACCCAATCTTAATCCGTAATTTTTAGATGGAACTCTATGCAATTCTAAGACTGCAATGTGAGGAAAAACTCCGTGATATAAGAGATTTAGGAATGTTTTGGAGGTTCAGATTTGCCTGAACTAGAAATGCCATTGCAGTGTCTATTGCTTTTTTCGGGCCATTTCTGTTACTAACACTGAAAAAATGCTTCATTTTAGGTTGAGTGCTATGACTATGATAGTGATGGGTCTCATGATCTCATAGGAAGTTTTCAAACTACGATGTCAAAACTGAAGGAAGCATCTCGGTCCTCACCTGTAAGTCTTACATAGTCTAAGCTGCCTGTGTGTTTTTGATAAGCTGTTTTACTCATTTTGCAGCAAAACTTATGTCACTTGACTTGCAGGTATCAAAGTTGTGTTAGGCTACACCTTAACAATGCTACTGTAGTTGAGGCTGACCCAGCATTTACATTATGCATCCACTTTCCTAGGATTAATATCTTGGTTACAGTTTTCAATATTACGTATCTAAATACCCAGCCATCAGCGCAAATGAATTTCATTAATCATAAAAATACAGAAATAAAAAAATTTAGAGTGTCAAAGACAGAATGCAGTACAAATGTCACTGCAGTTAAAAGGCCAAAGCTTGTAGTATTTTTCAAGTATATTTCAAGTATGGCACTTATCAGCTCTCATGCATATTTTAGTGAATGTGAAAAAATTCAACATTTATGCCACTGCACAAAAAGGCAATTGAACGTGTTACATTAGGTGGCTCTTCTTTAAAGTGAAATTACCCTTCTTGTTCTTACGAACTATAACAATTTGCAAACCTTTTAATAGATAAGGTTTACATTTAGAAGACAAAAGGTGGCATAGCAACCTTAACATAAGTCTTTGTTTTATGCACGTGTATGTTGTCAAAACATTTTACCATCTTTTCCTTTATTTCCATAAAACCTGCAGAACTGCTCCTTCATTAATAATAATGGGATATATTGAGTGTCTGCTTGTACTTTTCTGACATCTGGAGTGTTGCATTTGTACTAAATTCTTCAGAGCTGTTGCATGTGAAGAGTTAACCTTGGCTGTAGTGTTTTTTTGATCTCTGCTTTGTGCCCTGCCATGCTTTTCTTCTAGATACCTGTTTCTGAATTCATTTTGTGTTATGTATGGTTAGGTTTAATGCCTCTTAAGGTTTTGTATTGTTTGTAAGGAATTTTGGGCTCATACCATACGCATGTAATTCATATGCTGCCTATTTGGAGCTCTTAGGTGGTGTTTTTCTCATTTTTTTTCTAGATTTTTCAGGGGCCAGGTGGTATCAGTTTAGCTTTCAATGCTGACAGTGATCCTTCTTATTATTGTAATTAAAGTGTGCAAAAAAAAAAACCCCACGGGGGAGCAGGAGGACTTAATAAAATAATTTTTTCTGCTTTTTTAATGAAGATTTTATGAATCTTTTTAATAAGGTGTTTTTCTTAATTTAAAAAAAAGCTGCACTTTTGTTATAGAGCAGTATCATAAATTGAACAAACCTAGTAGGTTTGTACGTTCACATTTTCAAGCACATATTTTTTGTAAGAACTGTGATAGTGAGTTCCTGTGCAGTGTGAAGCGTGTTGTGTAAAGGAGAATACAAGTATTTATTTTCATTGTTCCCCTAGTAGCTTAATAGGTGCAGTCTCTTTTGAATTTAAAGAAAAGGTATTTTAAGTTATAATTTGCCTGTGCTGGTTTTAGAAATGCTTTAAGAAAGTTGTTTTCATGAGAACTGTGGCTATAGCTATTCCAAGTAATTTATTGCTGTGTCAGTAAGATGAAGCGAAGATAAGAGACAACACACATAATGTGCTCCAGGTTTCTTCTACTTCTAAAAGGAACTAACCTATAATCCTGCGTGACCTGATTAATTTGATAATGTTTGTAAAATATTTCCAGTGCACATTAGAATTTGACTTTATATACTCCAAGCATGCTCATTAGTTACTCCCACAATTCTGATATCAGCTGCACCTGTGGGAGATTTGGCACAACTTCTTTCAAGTCTGCTTGAGGCGAGCATGGGTGTGACTCTATCCTCAGTTGCTGAAAAATCTGATCTTAATATGACTGGAGTGAATGGGTGGCTTTTCATTCTCTGGAGGATTGCTGATTCCGCCCCCCCCCGCCCCCTTCCCTTAAGGTGTATCTTCCCCCGAGGCATGCTGTTAGCGTGCTCTGGTTGGAGGATTACAAAATGTAGTTGAAAGATTGTACATGCTATGTATCCCGTGGCTGTTATTAATGATTACCTCATCAATTGACATAGTACAAAAACAAGTCCCTGAAAGACAATTTCCATCAAATAGAAGTGATGCTGGTGGTGAAATGTCCAAAAAAAAGAAGGTAAAGAGGAGGCATGTAGACTTCTCAGGTGCTGACCTTGTTAGTGCATTTTTTCACTTGGGATTAATTACAAGATCACTTTTTAAAACTTAATTAGCTTAAACCAAGGCAGTGGAACCTGTTTCTGGCACTGAGCCAGAAGGCATGCCTGGAATACCTCCTCCAACTATTTGTGCACCAGACATGCTGCATTGTGCCATCATGACTGTGTGATGGCAGGAGCTGCTTAACCTGGCTAGCTGTTGATTGCACTTGGAGGTTAAGGTATTGGTATAGTTGATGAAGCCTCAACAACTGATTTTTGGAAAGCTTAAACATATACCTCGTATTTTGTATGTTACTGCCACAGCTGCTGGAAACAGTGATGCTTTGCCTGAATCACCATGTCTTTACCAAAAAGAAAGTTGTTAGCAGAATTCTCAGAGGGAAAATGGTACAGAATTTCTTTGTCTCGTTGAAATACAGTTGTCTAAACAAACATTTTTGTAAGCTTTTGGGTAAGAGAGGATTTCTGTCATAATAATGGGATTTTTCTTGCTGATTTGGGGCAGGCTGGGTTTAGTTTTGCTTGTTAGTGAAATAAACTGCATTTTTAATACAAGCCCAAAGTGTCAGTTCTAGAATAAAGAATTTTTAGATTTGTTGCATCAATGATATTTATAGTGCTTTTGTTGGATTTGTTTGCATTCATGCAGGTTGAATTTGAATGCATCAATGAAAAGAAAAGACAGAAGAAAAAAAACTATAAAAACTCTGGCATTGTGAGCGTTAAGCACTGTGAGGTCAGTAATATATTCTGGTATGACTCTTTGTTTTTAAGTGTTCAGGCATAACAACTGTCATCTAGTATGCCTTCACCCTCAAACTGTAAGAAACTTTAAAATTTCTGAAAGTTCCAGACACAATAAATATTTAAGGGCTCTGATTCATATAAGGAGACAGACTGACAGCTGAATCACGTGTCTGGCATAGAATCATAGAATCATTAAGGTTGGAAGAGACCTCTAAGATCATTGAGTCCAACCATCAACCCAACACTACCATGCCCACTAAACCATGTCCCTAAGCGCCTCATCTACCCGTCTTTTAAATACCTCCAGGGATGGTGACTCAACCACTTCCCTGGGCAGCCTGTTCCAATGTTTAACCACTCTTTCGGTAAAGACATTTTTCCTCACGTCCAATCTAAACCTCCCCTGGCGCAACTTGAGGCCATTTCCTCTCGTCCTATCACTAGTTACTTGGGAGAAGAGACTGACCCCCACCTCGCTACAACCTCCTTTCAGGTAGTTCTCCCCTGTCTCACTTTCTCTCGAAGATGCCATCTATATGGCAAAGGTCACTTACCAATTTGTAAGGCCATTCCTGAACCACTGCATTTCCCAACTCACCATTTTATGGTGAATTAAAATCTGGTAAGTCTGTCATAATAGGTTGTTTTATAAATGATAGTGCTTTTGGAGCAGCTTTGTTGTCTGCCTGTAATTTTGTAAAAGGCCTGGTTCTGTTACACTGAGTGTGTGATGGCACACGCTGTAAATATCCTCACTGCAGTGGGTGGGTGGGATATCTATAGAGTAAAAGTAGTGCTTTGCATGGGTAAAGATAACAAATCTGGAACCTCAAAAGTTGCTGCAATAATACTTACAGGTTTTCTCCCATTAAAAAAAAAAGTTAATTTCTATCTTTAACTTCTATTTTTAGATCATAGTAGAATGCACATTCCTTGATTATATCATGGGTGGGTGTCAGCTGAATTTCACAGTAAGTTAAATCATTTATATAAAGTAGCTTTTGAGTTTTGGAACAAACTGAAGTATATAATTGATTGCCTGTGCTCTTCATTTGATTATTGTTGGTTTTTTTGGTGGTTTTTGTTTGTTTGTTCTGTAGCATGGAGGGGGGAAGCCATTTTGCCAGAGTCCATCTAGTCTGTTTAGAAAAAATTATTTTCTTTACTCATGGCACAAAGTTCTGAACCTGTAGTTATGTGATTTACTTCAAGTTTCCTTTTCATAAAGGCACCTTTTTTTCTTTTTTTTGTTTTTTCTTCCTCTGACCAAAGATTTCACTTTTGCACTTCATGGTGGTTTTCAAGGCCCTTTGCTTAATGAAAGCAATATGCAGAAGCCATCATATGGGTTAGGACCCTTAAGTAATGTAATTGTGAACCAAATGCAGCACAAATAACAGTAAAATGTCTTCACCCTGGTAATATGCCTCACTAGCAAAGCAGAGAAGACTCATTGAGGTCAGAGAAAGAACTACCTCCAGGCTTCTGTGGTGTCTGGCTCGTCGTACTTCTGAGAGGGAAGATGTGTATGGCAAGATACAGGATGAAATTAATTTAGCAGCTGTTGAAGAGCTGCTGTGAATGGTAGCTGAAAGTAAACACAGTGAAAACCTGACAAATGAAATTCATTTCAGCCCTTCTGAGAGATGCAGAGCTTCTGGTTTTGTAGTGGCATTGTTCTAAGAGCGTTAATATTCCAAGAAACCTGCATCTAAGTATTGTGCCTGTTAGATTTGTAGATGACCTGGTAACTACTGTTTACAACTCCTTCATGGTTTTCACTTTGGCTTTGCCAGAGATAAGAAACACAGTTTTACTTCTAGCACCAATTTGATATAAATATTGCATTTGACAGGTGGGGATAGATTTTACAGGCTCCAATGGACCCCCTAACTCTCCAGACTCTCTGCATTACCTCAGCCCTAATGGAGTTAATGAATACCTAACAGCCATTTGGTCTGTAGGAATGGTCATTCAGGATTATGATACGTAAGTTTTAGATTTTTATTTAAATAATTTTTTAGATAAGTATAGATTTTTGTGGTAGTTTCTTAAACCAGTGTTGAAGATGCCAGCAGGTACATTGGAATGAAACTTCTGAGCTGAAATGTAGAGCTAAAAAAGACTTCATAATCACTGCACAATCACATAATCACAAGCAGAAGCTTGTGTTTACAGCAGACAAGCAAGGCTTTTCATCTGTGATGTAAAGAGCAGCATTAATTTAAATAAATGCTTGCATTCTTGCCAATTTGGTGTTAAAGACTGGTTTTGGTCCTAGAAAGAATTATGGGGGGAACTTCCACTTAATTTTGCCTCTTAATGCTTAATAAACAGCACTTTTAATGATCAAAAGCAGCACTGATTAGCTAAAATTACTGAACTATGACAACTGTTAAAGGAAGGCACTTACTTAATTTTCTTTAAAATTGCTTTTTTAGAGATAAGATGTTTCCAGCCTTTGGATTTGGTGCACAAATTCCTCCTTCCTTTCAGGTAATGGAATATATAAATGCACTACATAAGACAACTAAAAGCACTTAACTTCAGGAAGAGATTGTATATACAGTCCTGACTGTGTCTTTTGTGTATTGCCAGGTGTCACATGAGTTCCCATTAAATTTTAACCCATCAAACCCATTCTGTAATGGTAAGTCTGAGAAAGTAACATCAGACCTAGAGAATAAAATGTCTAAGGTGAAGGGATAAAAACACTAGAAAGTTGAACTGTGAAGCATGTTGTTCTAACTAAATAATGAGTTTAGTTGTGTAGCAGGAAACAATTTTATAACCATTTTCTTAGTTATTAGAAATAGCGTTTGGTCTCTCTTCTGTAATGATTTGTGAAAGAAGTGTTTTAAACAGCTAGGGCACAGTACAGGTAAGCTGGGAACGGTTCTCTCGTGTTGTCAAGCCACTTCATTCTACTTCGCTGCTGGTGTGGAGTTGTCTGGTTTGAGTATGATGCTGCTAGTGCCTGTTCAACATGGCCTCTCTGATGACACTACTAACTACCACAAGTTGCCAGGTGAAGAGAACTGTTGTAATTCAGTTACACGCGCTTGAGCGTACAGTATTTGGCCTTTCTATTCACATAAAGCCAAGCGTGTTAAGTACGTGTGCTAAGCATTGGTCAAGCCGAAGGCCTCCATTGCTCATGAATCATGTATTTTTTTCATCATGGTTAGTTTTAAATCTTTGCATCATCACTTTAAATAACTGATATATTACAGTGTTTTATGAAGATCGAGCGCTTCGAAACATCCTAATTCTACTATGAAAACATGAATATGATCTATTTGTGTTCTCTAGGAATCCAAGGCATTGTTGATGCATATCGGGCTTGTCTTCCTCAAGTGAAGTTATATGGGCCAACAAATTTTTCTCCAATTATAAATCATGTGGCAAGATTTGCTGCTGCAGCTACACAACAGCAAACAGCATCTGTAAGTTCTTTATGGTAGTGTGTGTATTTTTCTTACTTTCCCTTCTAGCTTAAAAATACTGTTTTTTTCTTTTAAGCTTGTAAGTGTACTTGTTTCGACAGCTGGCTGTTTACCTTGTGAATTGGTGTTTGGTACCCTTAAAACAAGATAAAAGTCAATTGATTTTTGCAGATTGTACACAACAATTCTCTCCTAAATTAACTAAAGAAACTCTTCAGTGTTGAAATATCAACTTAAAAATACATGGCACCTTTGTGGTATCTTCTATTCAAAGTGCTATACAGATGTTAAAGTCTAATTTAAGCCTTTGCATATAGGAGAGTGATTTAACCTCAGCTGAGAAAAATCAACTAGACCTTGTTTCACATCAGATAACTGAGAGAATTAAGTAAGGTAATGAAGAAATGGAGGATATAGCTCCTGACACCTAGGTACCAACATAGATAATTAACTGTCCTTACTATAAAGCTTTAGGTGTGCTGTATGTGCTGTGCCCCTCCTCCCTGTTAAAATTGTATGTGTGAGTTGTTGACCATATTAAGAAACAGGAATTCTGAAGAGCAAGTCTTGAGTATCGAATCATTTAGATAATAATCCATGCAAGTTCAGCAAATCTGAAGCCATATATATCCTAAATCATTGACGATAGTAAATACTGGTATCTCGGATGTCACGTAAAATCAGAAAATAAGATTAGCTGTTTTTGCATAAAAAAGTACCTGTGGAAACCAATTTGGAAAAGAGCTATGGATTTTCACATGCCAAGAGGTTTATAAGGTTTTGCCTTGGTAGTCTTTCAGTAGTAACTGTCATCGATATATTAGGAAAGTAGCAAAACCTCTTGTACTTTTTTTTTTCCTGAGAGTGCAATATGCCTAGCAGGAGATCTATTTTTTTTCTGCCTGAAAGGATGTATTGAAGAAATTTTGCTGCCTTGCCATTTAATGCGTATCGTAGATATTTTGGGTTGGGTTTTGGTTTTGGGGTTGTTTCTTTTCTTTTTTCCAGTATGGGGGAAATAGAAGAAGAGAGAAATAAATCCAGTGTGGTGTGCTATCATGCTGCTGGTCATAGCCTTCTCTGATCATGGTTGCTTTGTAGATATTCTTGTTGGAGTTGGGGAATGGAGTGGTGGGGAGCAATGAAGGAAAAGGTGATACTTGAACACAGGAGATAAGGGAAAAACAATTACTTTGGAGGCAGAGAAGGGAAGATGGGAAGCCAAGTACTGAAGAGGAAGACTTTTAAGAATACTGGGAATACCTTTGGAACTTGAATTTGTCTGCCCAGTAATCGTCTGAAATGAACCAAGTGAGAGAAGACCGGAGGTTCAAAAAGTGTTTGATAGTTTCTGAACTTTGTACTTCTAGCTTGTTCTTGATACTTCAATCCAGAACAGAGGCTAAGATGCCAACTTTTAGAAACCCTGGCAGTATAGTGGAAGCAACTCAAGTGGTACTTGAATAAATTACCGAAGTACTGCAAGGTGGTTTCAGATGCCTTGGTAAATAACTTCATAGAGCAGCTAGAAAACATGATTAAAGGAATTTGAAAATGGGCATGCTGTTTTTCAGCACAAAAAGATGTGTTTTAGTCTATATTTAGGATTTTAGGGGTACACTGAAAAAATGAAGGCCTGTTCCATTACCCTTGGTAGCACTCTTTTGTTCATCTGTTCTTAACTGAATGAAGCAAAGGGTAGCATTTCATAAAGGTATTGATAGGCCAGAAGGGAAACAAATACAAGTTTCACAGGAGTTATCTGTCCAAAACCTCAACAAACTACCTTCTATCCCAGGACAAATACTTGGAAGATAGGTTAACTGTTGGTTTGTCTGGGGATTTTGGAGAGAAGAAGAAGAAGAGTGATACCATTGGGTTTTTGGGAGGTGGCTGTTTAAAGATGACTTCTTTTGAAAGATTGATTATGTTGTCCTTATAAATTTCTTTGGACTGTACAGATGAAGCCTGACCACAACTTAGACATTTGACTGTACAATTCAGTGAGTGCATTGAACATGCTCAAAGTGATAACAGTATGTAGTCTGTATGTGCATTTTTCTAAGTGTACATGCCTACATATTTTCTATTTCTTTGTCATAACATGGTGTTTATTGATTTGACAGCAATACTTCATACTTCTGATCATAACGGATGGTGTGATAACAGACCTTGATCAAACTCGAACTGCCATAGTTAATGCTTCAAAATTGCCCATGTCCATTATCATTGTTGGTGTTGGAGGAGCAGACTTTGATGCTATGGAGTTTCTTGATGGTGACAATGGAGTTCTTAGGTCCTCGTCAGGAGAACCAGCTGTCAGAGACATTGTCCAGTTTGTGCCATTCAGGAAGTTCCAAAACGTAAGTAATCTTGATGGTATGCTTAGTAAATATTGTAGAAGTATGCTGGGTTTGCTAGGATATCCTACGTATAGTCCTAAGCTTTTGCAGTGTCTCTGAAATGAACTCTGAAGTCTGAGATAAGTCTGTATCAAATGCTTAAAAAAAAAAAAGGACAGAAGACTTCAGCATCTGTAGAATTTCCATTAGGTGAGCTGATTCATGTTTAAAAAGACTCCATTTCTGGTTTGAGCACTGCATTTCTGGCAAGTTGCTGCAGGGAAATGACCTTTGTAAATCTCCCTCAGACTTGATTAAACAAATGGATGTGTTTTTCATTTGGGAGGAAGAACTTACTGTGGTTTTGTTCTTAAGGAAAAGTGTTTTTTATTGTGGATGCCGATTTGTAAATGTGGATTAGTCTCACATTTTACTGCAGTGTTAAAATTCAAGACTATATCGGGGAGGTCATAATCAGTAGAAATTGTGTGTGGGCACAATAGTGGTGATAGTTTTCATTTTCATTAAAGCAAATATACAAAAAAAATAGGCGGTGAAAGAATGGAGTCCTGATTTTTTGCTGTAGAACCTAATAAAATATACGCAGGCTAATATAGTCCGGCTTTTAAATGTCATATCACTGGAAGAAGTTGGTTTAAAAAAAAAAAAAGACCCAAAATTTCCTCAGGATGAAGAAGATAAGATCAATACTTTTATTTCCATTCTAATATGTTCTAATTTTGTTAATTTTTCTTAATATTAACCCTGTTAATACTCCTTATACCTCCTTATTTTGTCTTTGTATTTTTATTTTTACTTTTGATACAAGTTCTTTGTTTAACCTCAGAGCAACTCAGGCAAACTGAAAGGAGAAGGAGAGCAAAATCAATATAGAATATGCTTACTGAATAATGCACTTGGATGTAGATTAACTAGGGTCAATATTCAGTATAAAATTATATATTCAAATGCTTTCAGTTTCTAGAAAGAGGGACGTGCTTTTTTCCCATGGATACTTAGTCTTACAGTAAAAACAGTATCTCTAGAAGAGCTGCTCTGTAGCAGTACAGTTACTGTGGATAACACTTGGTGCAAAAGGTTGCAGATGATAAGACAAGCCCCTGAATGGACATCTTAAGCAGATAGCGGAAGTGTGTTTGCATGGCTGAAGTTCGACGTCTGCACTGTGTGTGTGTGTTTCGCATGACAAAAGGTGTCTTCAGACATGGCAGCCCTTCGTGCACCCAGCTCCTATTACTTCAGTGGAACAAGGCAGCCAGCTGGTTCCTGGTAATGGGAGCAAGAAGGTAAAGATGTCAGGGAAGCTTCCATCTGTCCCACAAGGGCGCTGTGTAGAGTCCTCTGTAAAATGTCAGACTTTAAATTGGCCTAGTAGAGGAGGTGCTTATTACCCATCTTAGGATCTCCTTTAACAGTTGGTGGAAACTGAAACTTGGTGGTGTGTTGTTTTTTTTTTATAAGTCTTCAAAAGAAGCTCTGGCGCAGTGTGTCCTGGCAGAAGTCCCTCAGCAAGTGGTGAACTACTTCAGCACCTACAAACTGCAACCTCCTAAGAATCCTGCTGCAAAGTGAATGGGCTGAGTAGGGGAGCCAAGACTTTGTGCTTGCTTTACCTGCTGTATCTGCAGACTTTGGTTCTCAAGATACTTCTGTATACATGTATACACACACCTCTGTATGGTAATGTCTGTTAGCTTTTGCCTGCAAATCACTTTGCCAAGTGTGCCTTTTAAGGGCCAAAATTGTAATTGTGTTAATATTTGATGTTGATTTGAGAGATAGGGCTTACATGGGTGCATTTTATTTTGAAAAGTAAGAGTGGAAGAGAAGAGGTTGCATATGCAGAGAGAAGGGGGAGAACGGCTGGAAGCGGACCAGCTGCCTCTTTGATAAATACGGCCAGTGGGAGCATTCAGTTGCTTTTGCAGGGATCAGCACCAAGGACTGCAGTTTCTCAGTGATCATAAAACCAGTCTGAAATGAAAAAGAGGGTTTTATCCCCACCAAGCAGATAAAAGTTTGTATGTCCTTCAACGAATTTGGAATACTTCAGGCTTCTGTGTCTATTAAGCCACCATACCAAAATTGTGTCACAGGAGTTTCATAGTTAGATGAGTGCCAGAACAGTGTGTAAAGGTTCTCCTTGCATGCCTACTTCACATTTACCACTTCAGTGCCTTTGGCCAATGCCTGGGATTCAGGGCTGTGTGAACATGAGCCAAACAAGTCATTAAAGTATATATTCTTTTATATAGTATGCAGTCTCTTAAGGTAGTACAGGAATAACTAGGGTAAATCAAGGTAAACCTCTAACATCTCAGAATACTACTATTGGCCTTTGAGGCTACTACTGTAAAGGCTGTAAGATGTGTTTCAGTGTGTACGGTGCTGGAAAAGGGGAACTCCAGATTTTATTTTGGTTGGGGTTTTGTTTTGGGGGGTTTTTTGTGTTTTGTTTTTTTTCTTTCTTCCTGTAAAACAGTCATGACTATTGATCTTTAAAGGGCTTTTTGTGAAGTGGGAGTTCACTTTTTAACTAAAAAGTTTTGTCTGATTTATAGCTGCATATTTTTAAGCAAAGACAGTTCTTGAAAGTGCTACCTGATTTATATTGTTTTCATCACATTTTGAATCATGCTTCTTTTTCATGAGCTCACTAATGAAAAGTGCCTGCAAAAAAAACAGTTTTCCCTCTTCCCTCCCAGTAGGAAGACATAAGAAAGTCTTTAAGCTCTAATCCTATAATCATACTGCATTTCTCTAGGGCAAACAATTTCTAGGTTATTTTCTTGGCTTGAGTTTTCTCTTCACCATTTACACCCTGTGTAAATCATGTTGTGTTTGCTTAGTGGACAGATGAAGCTTTCTTGTCTCCTGGTTGCATACTGCTTGCTGAGGATCTCTTCTGATCTGTCAGCGCATGTAACGTAAGTGGATGTAAAGGTCTCCTTTATCACTTCCAAAATGCCCACCTTGAACGTTAATTTTTGCATTTTCACATTTGAAGTGGTTTAGAGTTAGACATCCAACTGATCTGATTCCGGATGGTCCAGCTGTAACATGTAAGAACAGAATGGACTGACACTAGATTCAGCATACTTGGGCACTCAAGATTACACCAGATCATAGTGCATGTGACTTTGTATTTGACTTTTTTTTTAAAGTTGCTGGAGCTGCTCTGTGTGGTATATTTTTTATTTTATTTTTTTCCATACATGTATAATCCTGTCAAAAATCTGAATTCACATTAACGTTGATGGATGAAAGATACATGTGTTGAGATTGTCTTACACATCCTGTAAAACATACCAAATGTTTTGTAGACAGTTGACTAGTTATCAATCATGGATGGATATGTTATTCTCCACTACATTTTCCTTGGTGGAAGCAGGTCCTAAATAGTTTCAGTAGTGGAATACTAAGGAAGAGATTTTGTTTCGTATTAAGCCAAGCTCGCTCTTTTTTGAAATCTAGTTAATGTGTGTGTTTATATAAAAATCCACAGTCATCTTTTTATCAGAGTAGTGCAAATGTGTTACTACTTTATGTATGAATTATAATGAAGTGTCATTCCAGATAGGCAACACAAAATATTAAGATCAAGGAAGTAGTTATAATGAACCTAAATCACACTGCTGCAAATTGATACTGTATGATTTTGGAACAGTAAACTGTTTCACAGCTACTCGCTCCATCTACAGAGATAACTGGATGCAGTATTAATGCTTTGTCTAGATTCGTTGACGTGGACGAGTACTACTGATAGGAGTACAGGATACTACTGAAGTTCCTCTGAGCTCTCTGCCAAAATACAATGCTGCGTCTGAGTGCTGTTACCAATTCTGTTTTAAGTTGCTGTGGAAGTGCATTTAAATGCATTTAAGTGTGTTAATAGCTATTATTGTACTAAATATCTGCTGCATATAAAATACATAAACCTTTTTGGTTTTTTTGTATTCTATACATAAATTTGGAGTATCTACAATAGAGAATTCTTTATCTCGTGTTGGAAAAGTGCCCCCATGTTCCTCAAGCTTAGGGAATTCGATAGCGTATCAACAACACCTACTTCTCAATGTGCCTTACTGTGTGTAAAAGAAAAGTGTTTCAGACCTGACAGTGGCAAGAACCATTTTCCCAGTATAACTTCTCCTGGAGGTGTACAGCTAACAGCCTGTTGGAAAATTTGGAAACTTTTAGGTTAGGCTGAAGCAATATTCTGAGTCAAGGAATGCAGCAGATTGTGAGTCAAGGGGGAGGGGAGTTGTTTTGTTTTGCCTTTGTTTGTTTGTTTATTTTTACATGTAAAAAATGCCTTCTTAGCCTGAGGGTGACAAAGCAAAATATTGTCAAAGTTTTGTAAAGCGAATGTGCTTGTAGGTCACTTGCACCACCTTGTGATAAAAGTGATGTATAGCAGTCTTCATAATCGGATGCTTTTTGCCATTTAATGGGCGTAATATATACATATGTACAGCAGAGAGAGAACCTGTAACCAGAATTTTTTACTTTCCTATGTATTTCAGTTCTGATGACGTTAACTGATTTACAATGCCTATGCATTAAAAATATAATTTCAGTATGCTATTCTTCCGTTGTGCTTTTGTGTTCAGCGTTTCCTGTCTAATGATAAATGCTGCTTTTGCGGTTCCTATGAGTATTCCACAGGCTGAACAGCTCAGATTTATAACTAGTATTATTAGATGAGAGAAAAAAATGCCTTTTCACTCAGTGGTTTTGAATATGCAGTGTATATTTCGTAAAGCATCTCATACTGGCTTTTAGCAAGAAGATATTCTGAAATTGGATGGTTTTAGCAGTGACTGTTTCATGCTCTTTGCCACGTTAGAGTTCTCCCATGCATGCTATTTCATACAATTATTATCAGGTTTTCCCAAACTTTTTTTCAGAACAGCGTCTACATTTTAAGTAGAGAGGCACAGAGATTTGGTTATTTTTCATTTTCAAATACATTCTCCTACTCCACCCTTCAGTTTCTTTACATTCAAGTGTAGTCGAGTCTAAGAAGCTTTATTGGGAAACAGAGATGCTAGAGACATAGCATTGCAGCGGAGTGCGATGCCATACAGAGCCTGAGTGAGCTTTGATACTATACAGTATAAATTAGTCAGCTTGGATTGACTGTAGCAATAAATATTTTTCAAATTAAAACATGTATTGGAGACAAAGTCCATGGATTTTTACATGGCTTTTTAAGGTTTTTCAAATCACCAGCAGTCAATTTAGTTGCTCTAAACTTTAAACCTAAGGGCCTAATTCTGACAAAATCTTTTCATATTTTTTCATTACTTTCCTATGATCGTGATGGTTTTTCTTAGCAGGCTTGTTAGTAAAACACGTAACTGGGAACCAAGCAAAGCTACATTCAGATGCTTCCTTTTTTTAAATGGCGCAATATTATGAGATGGCCTGTGAGAACAACTCCACCTTCTTTATTTTTCACTTGGGCTGACTACTGTATGTGGTCAAGTGTGTCCTATTCCTAACTTCTGAAAAGGCCAAGGGATCATTCTCTCTCCCACTTTCTCACGCTACTTAGTAGTCCCCAATTCTTAGTTGACATTTCAGTATCATGTTTGTCTGGAAATTACTGGAAGTTGCGTCTTCTAAGTGCTCTAGAGTACTTCGCTCGACTTCTCCACCAGTCAAGAATCCACAGGGTAGAATTAGTTCCTGACAGGATTAATACATCTTACATCTTGACCTTTCTTGCGTTGTTCCTTCTGGTAAAAACCCTATAAATAGTTGCAGCTTGGATTCCTGGACCCTTCCTGCCCCTGTGCGCCGCTAAAAATGGAGGAACTCTGGAAAGGGGAAAATGCTCCAACAACAGAAAAGTAGGACGTCAGAGAAAACCAGATGGATGTTACTTCTGTGTGGCCATGATCTTCTGCAAAGACTGGCAGTTCTCCTCTTCCGTTTTGAGTCTAAGGAACTTGAGAGCTGTGCATAACGTGGTAATTTTGCAGACAGAACTCTCAGGCTTTCCTGCAATCCTGAGCTGTAGCAAAGCAGCGGCTCGTGGGATGATGCTCTGTTGCTGCAGTGTAATGCTTGCTGCTGCAGTCTCAGCCCTTACTTGCTAATGTATGTCAGCGTGTGACTGAGGAACTTAAATATGCCAACAGTGAAAATGTTTGAAGTTACCTGGTAGCATTTGTGTAGGCAGAAGGGGATCAGATCTTTTGCAATGACAGAGCGCTTTACTCATTAATATAAAACTGTTAAAATGTGGGGGTTTATGGTTTTTTTTCCCCCCTTCTGTGATGTTTTTACAACTCTCTCTCAAAAAAAATATTGAGAACCGTATATTGTAATGAATTCGTGGATCATTATTATTCACAGAAGGCCTCGTTTGTGAAGCAGTTCTGCAATATTTCTAATTTTGAGATTGTATTGAGATGTTCCTGGATGTGCAATAGATTAATAATTCTTTATGATGCATCTTATCATTTTCTACCTCTGTTGTGACATCCTTTTTTCTTACATATCAAAATTTAACAAGTAACATACAAAGAAAGATGGTTCTGTCCATGTAGCAATTGAACCTTGACCTCACTGCTAATGCGACAGAACTTTCTTTTTGAAAGAGATTTGGGTTTTGGTCATGTCAGAGGATGTGTGGAACATACAACATATGGAATTCAATCATTTAGCTTTTACCTGGGCAAAGCTCCCACTGATTCTGGTTGGGCTGCAGCTTTGCCTGTGATTAGAGAAGTTGAAAGGCTTTACAGAACAGGCCTACAGAGCGCATAGCCCGTGGGATCATATAGCCTGCAAAGTGAATTGTTTAATTTTGGCATGGTGCCTTCCTTGGTTGGCTGGTCAGCTGAGGAGCTGTGAAGCCTGCCCTTACCGTTTCTTGGCTTGGCCTCTGTATAATGGTTTTAGTTCCCCAAACTGTTCATCCAGTGGGGACTGAAAGTGGATAGGGAGAGAGAGGAGACGCAAACCCGTGGAAGAGAAAAAACTAATTGATAATTAAGTTTAAAACTCAGCTTCAGCCTTTTGTTTAATATTGCATCCCTTTCTGTGATGAGTTGATGCAGAAGGTTGACAGCGTGGGAGTTCCTTGTTAGACAGCTGTAGCCCTCTTAGCTGTGGTGCTGGTAAAGGATTTACTTTAGTTCACAGGTACGATGTAGCTCAGCCCTGGTAAGGCACAGGGCTCGCTTCGCACCATCAGTTGATGTCTATGATGGAGGTGAACGACTGGAGCATTGGTTGAAACTATGCACCACAGAGCCAGAAAGTGTAAATCCTGCTTTTTGTAAAATAACCTTTATTTTTGAAGTGGCTAGTTTAGACAACAAGATTCTTCAAAAAGTTAGTATCAACTGCTTGCTCTTCAGAGAGCATTGTTAATGCCCAACCCCTTGAGAAGATCTAATGTGTAAGTCGGCAGCCCAAAGTTAAAGGTCACTCCTGGGGTGGGGGTGGGGGATATCTAAGTCTCTGCCATGTTTATTCACCAGAGTCAAAGACAACTCGAGCAGATGCTCATGCTTTCAAAAGGCTGGCAATAATTCTGCAATTTGCTTCCCTGTTGTGTATTTTGTGATTTTTATCTTTTGACAATGGTTTTGTTTTGTAGCCCTCGGTCCCAAGCTAAAACGTCCCAACACACAGCATCACAGCTTTCTGCACTGAGCTACGCTAGTCACAAAAGCCGGACACTGATTAGAAGTATAAGGGGAGGAGAGAGAAGGATTGAGAGAAACGTAAGTAACCTCAGCAACAGTAGGGCAGTAACGGGAAAAAGGATAACTATGGGAAACCAGAAAAGAAAACAGAAGAGAACGCATACAAAAATTCAGAGCAAACTGAGCAACAGGAACAGCAATAAGAAAGCGAGAATAAACAGTAAAGGGAAGAGGAGAAGCAGGAACAAGACAGAGTAAGAGATAAGGGAGAGCATGGATCAAACAAGAAACAAGTGGTCCCGAAATAGTCTGAGCTCTAATTCCTATTACACCAGAAGTTCTCTCTTCAGGCTCAAGGTTACGAGGTAAGTATATAAATAATTTTTCTAGCTGTCCCAGGAGAGGAAGAAGAGGAGAGGAGGAGCTGGGGTAGATTTTTCTTTTGAGTAGTCTCTACTTTTAATCTTTTGTACCCAAAAGCAGTCACACTAGCCCTCTGAATTCAGCAAGACAATAGATGGGGCCACAGCCCGAAGCGCCACCTGTTTATTTTTTTTTCTCTTTAACTTCAACTTTAAGGATCTCTCCTTCTTCTGTTTTGGGGGATGGAGACATAGTAATGATCAGTGACTCGTTAGTGGTTCCTCTGTGCAGAACTGCAGGTGGTTTAGGCTTAGCGCCTGCATTCGGCTCTTCCTTTTGTGCAGGGGGTGCAGATGAGGCCGCAGGCTCCACGGGTTTGGTCTCCTCTTGTTTAGGCTTATTTTCTGCTTCAGCTTGAGTTTCCTGGAAACAAAAAGTTAAATGTTTTCTAATGCTGCAGAAGAAATTCAGGAAGTAGTTCTATTCTGTATATGCAGTGGAAAGGCACAGCATGGATACTGTGCTTAATGGTATGCAACGTATGAAATTTGTATTTAGATGCTGAAAATGAGGTTCTAAATGAAAAATGTGATTTCAGAACCAGAATGTCAACATAAAACCTAGGACAAGCTTGTAGATAGCAATAGTATCTGTTTCTTATTAATACAGCAGGATGAAACAGGCACATTTTGGGGCACACAACCCTTCCTTAGGTCTTGCCTTCCTTTATGTCCTTACACTAGTACAGAAAGAAAAAGTGTTATGTAAATCTTGACATATTGCCCGGTGCCACGGTTCCTTGGCCAAGCCTATTTCCTATTAAGTTCACAAATACACATGAAATTGAGCAATGTTTCTGTTCCAATCATAGTGTTGTAGTCATTTGTGTAAGCAAAGATCTTTATTTAACTTAAATAAATAAAACCACTGCCAGTTCAGCTATAAAGACAGAATTCTGCCACCTTTGGGTAAATACGTAGAACTGAGCAGGTTCTTATTAACATTTCTCAGAACAGAATACAATGTGGGAATTATTTTTCATCAACTAAAATAACAGTTTTTTCGTAAGTGCCATATATTAGAGATTTAATTAGTTTTAGCTGTGTGGGCTAAGCTTTAAGTTTTGTCCTCAGGATTTGTGACAACCAAAGATCTGACTTTGAATTGGAAAGTTCACTGTGTGCTTGAGTCAACTGGATCAGATTACTGTGTTAGGATATTTCTGTATTTACTGTTGTTTACATAAAACTAGAAGATCAGATGCCCTTAGGGTCTTCGTAATGTCTATTTTATCCTTACTTTCTTTGAGGATTTTTGTTTGCTTGCTTTTTTCCTTGCTTTTTCTTTGCTTTTGTTTTCTCTGCTCTGCATGGAGTCCAGGTCCAGGAAGATTTGAGCCAAATTTTAGAAGTAGTGTTTACAGAGATTAGGTACAGTGATTATATCTCAGCTACTGGCAGTTTTTGCCATTGATTGCAGTAAGACTACATTTTCATCTACTCTGTTTGCCCAGGTCCTCCCAGTATCTTTACTGTTTCCCTCTTCAGCACCTGAAATTAACTACTCTGTTTTCTGTAGCATTACCTGAGTGTCTTGTTCTGTCTTCAGCTGCAGCAGCCTAGAAAGGCCTTCTTTTCCTTTACCTCCAAGTATCGCTTTAAACAGTTTTGGAGTTTCCTGTTTCTGCCCAAACAGACCGGCCAAGCCCCGTGGTTGTTGCACTGGTGGTCCTGGAGCAGGTTTCCCCTTCTGCATCAGCAGCACCCTAGAGACAGGAAGGTATGAGAACACGCAGCAGTGCTGTGAAACCGAGCAAAGTTCCTGCAAAGCTAAACTGTCACATTCATGGATGAAAATCTGGCAACTTTTCCAGCAAATTTTTTTTTTTGTCCCAGGTCCAGTGGCAAAAGCAAAGCTGGAAAGGATAAGGGCTTTACCCTAGGCTCTGGTAGAGTTGGAGGCTACCGTTCTAATGTGCAGTTAGAATCATAGAATCATTTAGGTTGGAAAAGACCTTTAAGATCATCGAGTCCAACTGTAAACCTAACATTGCCAAGTCCACCACTAAACCGTGTCCCTAAGCACCATGTCTACACGTCTTTTAAATACCTCCAGGGATGGTGACTCC